TGGAGTGTAAACAATGAAGATTAAATGACTAAGTATTTAGAATATTGCCAGAAGGAAGAAAATTGCACACAATTGTACAGAAACATTTTGCCATATTTGAAAAACAAAATTAAAGTTCCCTACTATTGGATCAAGGAATCTTAAAGGAAATTTAAATACAGAATGGAGCATTCATTGTTCAAGTAAAATCATTATTTGAATTATGTGTATAACAAGAATCTTGAAATTAGAGTGAACATGATATATCACATCATCTTTAAAGATGAACATATAATGACGGAATCAAGTGAAGACCAAAATTACTTCTGTGTTTACTTTGTGCCAGAAAGCATCTCCATTGTAAATAATGTATGTACATGTTTATTACAAAGACCCAAATGAAAAATTTTAGTCGATTTTTTTGCATAGCCCTAGGATAAAAAAAGAATAAAAGTTCTATATTTATGGATTTTCTGTATATAAAACTAGTTTCTAATTAAAACTTAAATCCGTTAAGTAAAATCTGTATTGCCACTTTAAATGTAAAGTAAATTATTTGGGAGAAACTTCAACCACTGATAATGAGACAAGCAGTGAGAATAGGGAAGTATAACTACAGTTTTTGATGTATTACAAAAACCAACCACTCTGTAAAATAAATTTTTTTTACTTTTGGTAATATTTGCAAATGAATATTACTTTATTAAGGTGAAGAACTTATACTAAGTTGTGTCCATGTTGTTCACTCACTTGTCTTCTGCCTCTCAAGTAGAATACTACATTTCTTATGCATCTGGCATTCCTAGTTGTTTATCAAGCTGGTATCCAAGCAATGCTAGGCTTTTCATCTTTTCATTTAGCTCTGTATGTTGTGGAATAGCCATTTGAGAGAGTCATAAATAATTGTCAACTCAGTTTAATTTTCTGCCCATAAATGTCATTTTTTTGGTACATGTAGATATATAAGAAATATCAAAGTATAGGTAGTCATTTAAAGTTTAATAAGTAAATATGGTCTATAAACACTAGGGCACCATGAAATCAAAATATCCTATAACTATTTTCTATAAATATATCTAACATTTTTTAATTTCCAATTTAAAAGGAATGTACAGTCTGAAAAGACTGTATAATAGATATATAATAATATATGCAGTTTTATAAACACCAAAGAATGTTGTCCAAAAGAAACTTTTGAATACCTGTCTATTTATAAGAATCTGAATATTTTCATTCTTATACTAGAAATTTTGATAAGTAGGATGAATTAATTTTAGTATGGGTACTATTTTCTTATCTAACATAATGGCAAATGTGTACTGTAAATCATATTTTTGTCTTACTAATTTTAATATGTGAGAGGTTTAGAAATTTGTTATAACTTATTTGGATAATCCTTGTCTTCTCTTTACATATTATCTGGTCCAGAATCTTCAAAATTAAAAATTTATGAATGGTGAGGAAATAAATGCATATTGGCGTTTCAATGCAACTTTTGTACAATAAAAATTTTTAAGTAGATAGGTACAATGAATATTGCACCATTACTAAACTTATCATTTTCCTTAGAAGACGTATAAACAACAGGAAAATAAAATTAATGTGACTGAGAGAGAAGGCAGGGGCTGAAGATTAAGGGGGGTGCAAGTAGAAAGCAGGGAAACTCCACATTGAAGAGCACCTGGGTACTGGTTCCAGCTCATACAAACCATGTGACTTTAGACAAATCAGCCTCTCCGAGTATCTTTCTTTTTCTCTCTCATACATAAAATCAAAATCAAATCTCAAATTCACAGGAGTATGAGGAGCAAAAGGAATAATGTGAAAATAAATTGAAAGTTGAAAAGGGCTAAGTAAAGTTAAAGGATTTTTAATATTTTAAACTTCACTTCAGAGGTAGCTTTTATTTGTCATTTTTTCCTATTGAAATCAGCATCTGAGAGATTAGTTAATATTATATTAAGTGAACAAACAAGCTTAAAATAATGCCCAAAACAAGTCTATTTATAGTTCGTTTGCCCCAAGGGTGGTGGTGGTTGCTTAACAAAACTATTGATTTCTCTTTTATCCCTCCCCATTTCTCTCCTTTCCCTTTCTTTCCAACTATTGTTTTCCCTTCTTACCAATTTAGGCACTGGTGATTTCCACTTAGAATAAACATTATATCTGTTAAGATACAGATTTATTGTTTCTATTACATGATAATTGATCAAACTTTAAACTTTTCTCATTACAGTAGAAGAATGAGGCTATAGTAGTATATAGTTAAATATCTCTAAGCGATCCTGGCTTTACTTTAAATTTAGATTATGATTCTCCCCTAAAATACCCACTATATTAATTCAGAGATGGCCAGGCCAGCGTGGCTCAGTGGTTGAGCATCCACCTATGAACTAGGAGGTCACGGTTTGATTCCCAGTCAGGGCACAGCCTGATCCCCAATCGTGCAGGAGGCATCCAATTAATGATTCTCATCGATGTTTTTATCTCTCTCCCTCTCTGAAATCAATAAAGATATATTTTAAAAAATGTACTCATGATAGCTAAAAACTGGAAACAGTCCAATGTCCATCAGGAGGTGTAGTGTATTCATAATGGAATACTACTCAACAGTTTTTTTAATTACTGTTACAAACAATATAGGTGATTCTCAAAAACATGTTAAGTGAAAGAAGCCAACAGCATGGAAGGGACCTGGAGAGTATCATTTTAAGTGAAATAAGTCAGAGAAAGACAAGCATCACATGCTCTCACTCATATGTGGAATCTAATTAACAAAGTAAACTGATGAACGAAGTGGATCCAGAGACATGGAAGCATGGGACAGAGTGCAGAATCTCAGAGGGAAGACGGGAGAGGGTAGGTGGGTGGGAAGTAATCAGCTAAAGACCTTGTATGCATATATGCAGAACTCATGGACGCAGGCAGTGGGGTGGTGAGGGCCTGGGGCAGGGGGTTGGGGTGTGCTGGATGAGGTGGGGGGGGGGGGACATATGTAATACTTTCAACAAGATTTTTAAAAATAATAATAAAAAGAAGCCAAACACAAGAATTCATACAGTATGATTCTCTGTATATGAAATCCAAAAGCAGAGAAGACTATAGTGATCAAGCACAGAAAATTGTTTGTATTAATTAACTATTGCTGCCATAACAAATTACCACAAACGTAGTGGCTTAACACAAATTTACAGTTCTGAAGGTCAAACATCTAGTATGGGTCTCACAGGGCTAAAATCAGAGCTGCATTTCCATCTAGAGCAGTGGTTCTCAACCTTCCTAATGCCTCGATCCTTTAATACAGTTCCTCATGTTGTGGGGACCCCCAACCATGAAATTATTTTCATTGCTACTTCATAACTGCAATTTTGCTACTGTTATGAATCGTAATGTAAATATCTGATATGCAGGATGTATTTTCATTGTTACAAATTGAATATAATTAAAGCATAGTGATTAATCACAAAAACAATATGTAATTATATATGTGTTTTCCGATGGTCTTAGGCGACCCCTGTAAAAGGGTTGTTCGACCCCCAAAGGGGTCTCGAACCACAGGTTGAGAACTGCTGTTCTAGAGGTTCTAGGGGAGATGCCATTTCCTTGTTCATTCAGGCTAATTGAATTCAGTCCTTGTGGATGTAGGACTGAGGTCCCTGTTAGCTGGTGTTTCCAGCTGCTACCGGCCACCTACATTCTTTGGCTTGTGACCTCCTTCCTCTATCTTCAAGGTCGGCAACAGTTGGACATATGCTTCTCCCATTTCAGATCTCTCTTCTTCCACTGTTGCATCTTTCTCTGACCGCCTCTTCTCCCATCCTCTTCTACCTTTAAGGCCTCATGTGGTTGCAGTGGACCCACCCAGGTAATCAGGGTAATTCCTATCTCAAGGTCTTCCAAGCCTCTTTTGTCAGGTAAATTAATCTGGTCTTTTCATATTCACAGGTCTAGGCATTAGGGCAAGAACATTTTTTTAAAAACGTATTTTAATTGATTTCAGAGAGGAAGGGAAAGGGAGAGAAACATCAATGATGAGAGAATCATTGGCTACCTCCTGCTTGCCCCACACTGGGTACTGAGCCCACAACCTGGGTATATGCCCTCACCAGGGAATCAAAATGTGACTTCCTGGTTTATAGGTCGATGCTCAACCACTGACCCACATCTGCCTGGCTATTCTTAATATTATATGCCAGCACAGTGTGCCATGGAATAAGTTTTTGTTCACTTATTATACATGACACTCAGACATGAATTAATGAAAGGTTTGGGAAGTTTTCTTGTATTACTTCTGTAATTTCCTCCCTGTATTTTCTCAGTCTTTTTTTTTCTCCTTAGTTTCATTTTAATATTTTTTATTTTTCAATTACAGTTGACATACAATATTATATTCCTTTCAGTTGTACAATATAGTGGCTCTAGCCCTACCAGAACCATCCAAGCCATCGTCTCTTGCCTGGCCTCTTACAATAGCCTCTTCATGGCTCCCCTTGCTTCACTTTCTCTTCTGTTTCTCCTCCTCCTTCGCACTTACATACATTACCTTACAGTGATTAAGGTTATCTTTTTGAAAGATAGACTGTGCCACACCTTGGTTTAAAACCCTCCAGCCCGGCCACGGTGGCTCAGTGGCTGAGCACCGACCTATGAACCAGGAGGTCATGGTTCGTTCAATTCCCAGTCAGGGCACATGCCCAGGTTGTGGGCTGTTCCCCAGTGGGGAGTGTGTAGGAGGCAGCCCATTGATGTTTCTCTCTCATTGAATTTTTCGCCTCTCTATCCTTCTCCCTTCCTCTTTCTCTAAAAACAAAACAAAACAAAAAATCAGTAAAAACATTTAAACAAGTTTATGTCAATTAAAAAATAAAAACTCTAAAGGCTTTCACTTCACATATAGTCCAGATTCCTGCAAACCACTATATATATGAGAGAGAGAGAGAGAGAGAGAGAGAGAGAGAGAGAGAGAGGCGGTATTCATTATATTGAAAGTGTGTTAACAATAAGTAGGATTAGAAACGTACTGTTTCTCTTGCTTCTCAAACTGCGGCTGCTCCACTGTCACTTTCCCGAGGCCACACGGCCGGCCCCTCCGCGACACCTGGTGGCGCACCAGCCCGCCTCACCTCACCGGGCCGCAGAGCGCAGGCGCAGAGCCCGACCGAGCGACGCCGCACGCTCGCTCTGGCCCCGCCCCACGCTCGCTCTGGCCCCGCCCCGTCTCGAACTCCGTCGCGGGATCGCCGTGGAAACGCATTCTCGGGAACCGGCAGCCGCCAATGGGAAGGGAGCGAGTGCCACGAACTGGCCAATGAGGAGAGAGCGGTGCGGAGTTTAAATCCGCGGCTGGGGCCTGCGTCGCCGGCGTGCTGCGGCGGAACGGCTGTTGGTCTGCGTTGGGTCCCGGTCCCCCGCTCCTGGGGGCTCTCCCGTCTTCTGCTTCTCCCGCTGAGCTGCGGCCTGGTGAAGAGGAAGCCATGGCGCTCCGGGTCACCAGGGTGAGTGAGCTGCTGCGGACGGCGAGAGGGAGGGCGCGGCCTTTCTCGCTGCGTGCTCCCTTCCTATCTCGTCTGCCGGAGCCCCCCGGGCGGGAGCGGACCACGCAGGGATTTGGGGAGGAGGATAGGGGTGTCGGTGGGCCCCTGGTGGGGGAGCTTGGAGATCCGACCGACGGAGAGAGGAAGGTGACAAAGATCTGGATGGGCCTTGGATAAACACTGGGGGAGGGGGCGGCTGTTGGAGGGTCGACGGGAAACCTTTCCTAAAAGGTGATGGAGGGGGGAAATACTACCAACAATAAAAAACATATTTAAAAAACAAAATAAAAGGTGATGAGGCTCCCTGTGTGGGCTCCCACCAACTGTGTTGACTCCCTTCCCGGAGAGAGAGAAGGTGCCGGCAATTGGAGACCTTTTTTCTTTCCTTTCAAATGCAGACCCGTGGTATCTTAGGGCCAGCCGGGACTCATCGGCAATCCCTCTGTTCGAGAGGGAAGGGATTCTGGGAGGAAACGGGCTTGTCACAGTCTTAGCCAGACCCTGCAACCCGGGTTTCCTCTGGCTCTCAGCCGACTTCCGTCCTAAGAGCCTCTCTTTGGGCTCATCCTAACCCCCGACTTACTCTAACCTATCCGTGCCAGCTCTCAAATTGTCTTGCTTCTTTCAGAACACGAAAATTAATGCCGAAAATAAGGCGAAGATCAGTATAGCAGGCGCAAAGCGCGTGCCCGTGGCCACTACTGCAACCTCCAAGGCCGGGCTGAGGCCGAGAACAGCCCTTGGAGACATCGCTAACAATGTCAGTGAACAGCCCCAGGCCAAGCTGCCTCTGAAAAAGGTACCTATCTTCCCGGTGTCTGTAAGTGTCTGTAAAAGTCCACTTTCCAGCTGTGACCCTGGGTAGAAAAACATTTCACTCTCTCCCATTCATCTACAGGAGGCAAAAACATTAGCTGCTGGAAAAGTTATTGCTAAAAAACTACCGAAACCTATGGAAAAGGCACTGGAGCCTGCATCTGTGCCTGCGCCTGCGCCTGTGCCGGAACCAGCGCGGGAGCCGGAGCCTGAGCCTGTTAAAGAAGAAAAACTTTCGCCTGAGCCTATTCTGGTAAACTTATTTTATTATTTTAGAGTCTGTTGATTGTTTCTTTCAAATCTCACTTGATATTCTAATGCATGGAATAGCAATTGAATAAATAGTAATAGTAACATTTATAGAGTACTCTGCTAAACATTAAATGCATTAATTCACATAATCTTATATTCTATTAGCTAGTATTCTACTTTGTAGATAAGCATGTTCTAGAGTCATGTCTAATCAGTGGCACATAACTGGATTCAAACCCAGGCTTGTCTGGCTTCACAACTTGTGCTTTTTTGTTGTTGTTAATCCTCACTATAGAATATTTTTTTCCATTGATTTTTAGAGAGTAGAAAGGAAGGAGAGAGTGGGGGAGAAGGGGGGAAAGAGAGAGAAAGTAACATTGATGTGAAAGAGATGCACCTGACCATGCCAGGATCAAACCTACAACCAGATACCTGCCCTTGAATCCAACTGCAACCCTTCCCAAGTTCTAACTAATGAGCATCACCGGCCAGGGCATAACCTATGCTTTTTATATATTTTTGTTGTTTTTTTTTTAATTGATTTCAGAGAGGGAGAGAGAGAGATAGAAAAAGCAATGATGAGAGAGAATCATTGACTGGCTGCCTCCTGCACGCCCCACACTGGGGATCAGCCTGGGCATGTGCCCTTGGCCAGAATCGAACCCTTAACCCTTCAGTCTGCAGGCCGGTGCTCTATCCATTGAGCCAAACCTGCTAGGGCACACCTATGCTTTTAATCGGTTTGTTGATGGTATTGAGTAGTAACTGCCTGGACCAGATTGAGCTGTCTTTGATACAAGTCATTTCTGACCAAAATTTGTTGACTGAAACACAAATTGTTCTCTTGAATCTTTTTTTTCACTCACTAGTTAAATATTAATAAGCCTGTAATATATAATAGTGTAAAGCAGAAAATGTAGCTCTCCAAAAGTAGGTAAAAAGATGAGTTAGCTTCAAAAACCAAGAATTAAATAAATGTATTTACTGTGAGGGGAAAACAGGTCATCTGGAAGAGGCTGCTTTGCTGAAATTACAATGAACTGCATTCTGAAGCTCTTATTTTTAAAAAATTAGTAAAACCAGTTGGGAAATCTGTAAATGTCATTCAGCCTGACTTCTTATATCTAAGGGTAAAAGACTTAGTATTGACCTTCTGGACCTAGCTCATGAAACCTGAAGCATGCACAATCTTTAATTGGCAGTACCAAACTACCTGGGGTTTCCTTGAGTCCCATACTGATTCTTGCCTTTCCCGCTCCCTTTCATTTAGCTAGTAATCTTTTCAGCCTTCAAAACATCTCAAATATTAACTCCTGAAGCTTTAACTAACTTCCCCCACCCCAATTACTGTTCCTAGAATCACTCTCCTTGCTTCATTTACTTCTCTCTTCTAAATTTAAAGCCCCACTAGGACATCATAAAGTCAGTGGCTACCACAGAGCTTGGCTTGAAGAAAGTGCTCAATAAATGAACAGTGAGGTAACGGATTTGAAGAAAATCATTAATAAAGTCAATTAATAATTAGTAGTCAGGACAGAACTCCTGTTCCAATGACAAGCAATCTATATTTTGAGACAAACAGGAAAAGACTGACTTGTCATTCATTTGGATTAACTTCACAGACATTGATAAAGAGATTTTTTACTTATCAATTTCCTTTGGAGGAAGGTCCAGAATGAATTTGCTTTCTGTTTTACCTGTTAGCATTTAGGTTCTGCTGATTTCAATTTGGCTCACTTTTCATATTAATCACTTCTAACAAGACATTGAATAAATGTAAAAAGATGGTATTTTTCCTTTAAGGAAATGATTACATGACTATTCAGCAAATGATCTCTTGAGTTGGTACCAATAATCTGTTCTTTATTCCCAGATTTTAAGCTCCTCTTCGCTATTAATTTTAAAAGTCTTTCTCTGTTCAAGGTTGATACTCCCTCTCCAAGCCCAATGGAAACATCTGGCTGTGCCCCTGCAGAAGAATATCTGTGCCAGGCTTTCTCTGATGTAATGCTTGCAGTGAATGATGTGGATGCAGAGGATGGAGCTGATCCAAACCTTTGTAGTGAATATGTGAAAGATATCTATACTTATCTGAGACAAGTTGAGGTCAGTATTATGATTAGAATCTTTGAATCTTTGTGTTTTTTTTCTAAACTGCATCTAAATTTATTAGGTATTTTCCATTAATAGTTTATAATAATTTAAGTTGGATGTGAGAAAAACATTTAACAATAAATTCCACTTTCGAATTCTTCCTTGAATAAAAAAAAGTCACTAAACAAACTTAGGAAGTCTGTATTTGCCATTTTGAACAGGGATAGTTTGAAGTAAAAGTAGATACTACCATGGCTCTTTCTAACAAATTCCACAGATTGGATGATATATTTATATCTATCACAGTTAGAAACTGGCAAGTCCCAAACTCTGGGTTTAAGGAGGATAACAGGAGGTTGATGGATATTAGTGGCATCGCCTTTATCTCTTCCCCCACCCCAAAAAGGGGAAACATTCTGTATGCTAACATAGGCTATGCATTACCAGATTTTTCCAGTTTTTGGTAATGCATGCTCTTCCCTTAGCATCATTAACATCTTCAATCTCTTGCCTGTTTCTTTGAGGCATTTTCATTTCCTACATGATTGTCCTGCAAGATGACTTCCTTGCTAGGACTAGCTTTCTGCTTTGGGTTTCTTCTCCCTTCTTAAAGTTCATGTTCTAACTTTGGAGGAGTGGATTTAGCAAATGTATGCGCCGTACCTTGATGATTCATTCTTCACCTTATCGATGGGTGTTTTGGGGGTTTAAACCCTGGGGCAGGAGAATGGTAGCAGCAGGGTTCCAGATGATCTGAGAGTTGCTGCTATTTTTCTCTACTTGATAAAGCTCAGGTTCTGGGTTTTAGAGTCTTAGGTGAAAAGATTGGAGATGATAGTAAAGTACCTTTATTTGGGAACAAGTGGGTACAGGGTGTGGGACAATGGTGAATTGAACTCAGATCTGCCAATACAAATTGTCACACTGTTCTACTTAATGTTTGTGTGCTTTTTCTCTTCAGTGATAGAGCTGTTTGTAGTGGCCATATGAATAATTGAGCTAAGGACTGCTAGAGATTCTAAATGCTCCAGAGCTATTATATGGTGACTAATATTTCTGGTCAGAAATGTCACATGGAGTCTTGCTTCTAATAATGATCAGCATTTCTTTTGCAGGAAGAGCAGGCAGTCAGACCAAAATACCTACTAGGTCGTGAAGTCACTGGAAATATGAGAGCCATCCTAATTGATTGGCTGGTGCAGGTTCAGATGAAATTCAGGTTACTGCAGGAGACCATGTACATGACTGTTTCCATTATTGACCGATTCATGCAGGTGAGCATAATTCAATAATTGAGAGTTCTCACCTCCAGGTGTCTGTCTTCCCCACCTTTTTATACCTCTGTCTTCTTTTCAAATACATATTACTTATTCATCCAGTTGAAATTCCCATTGCAGAATAATTCTGTGCCCAAGAAGATGCTGCAACTGGTTGGTGTCACTGCCATGTTTATTGCGAGCAAATAT